CAAAAACCGCTCTACGTTTCGACCTTGGTACCACATGGACGGTGGTGCCATCCTCTCGAATGAGCTTCACGTCACCCTTGATCGCTACCCACTTGAACTCACCAGGGGCTACGTAAACTCTTTTACATACTGTGGCTTTACTTGCACTTTGGGCTTCTTGCGAAGGCTTCCCCAACGCTTCCTCCGCCACTTCGCCCTTTCTACAATCTTCACTTGGTCGTCTGACTAACGTATAGTTCATTGCTTGCAGTGCGTTCGTGCCTAGAACCAACATATGCCCTTTCTGCACTGATACATGCATTTGCAAGGTTATCTCTGTCCCAGTGCCTTCCTTTAGAGGCACTTCCACAACCTTCAGGAACTTCATCCGATTTCCCGACGCATCCAGAATCCTTTTACGCAGGTCCATCGGGCACTCTTGCAGCCGATGACCTTCCTCTTCGATCCTCTGCAGCACCTTTTGCGGCAGAATCGAAATTTCAGATCCCGTGTCTAGCAACGCAGACCAAGCGTTGCCAAAAATCGTCACACTTGCAACGGACTTCTTCCCAAACGGTGGCACTACACTTGAAGGACATCGCTTCTCCGGGGCCCTGGGTGGCTTGGTTTCCTCAAGCAATACCTCAGTTGCTTTACTTCCAAGCTCCCTTCTGACCTTGCACTCTCTTGCCAGGTGACCCTTACCTCTGCAATTGAAGCACTGCATTTGTCCTCCCTTTTCTTTGTATCTTGGTTCTTCCTTTTCTTTATTCGGCAACTCACTTTGTCGCCTGTTATCATCTTCATCTCTCTTTATACTCTTTTCCATCTTGGCCGGTACCCTTGACCGTTCGTGCCTTGATGTGCCCTCCAGTCGTTCTCCTGCTGCGTGGTAGCTTTGAGCTCTAGCACTCTCCAATGTCAGCCTCCTTCTTTCCACGCGCATTGCGGCCTCCTTCAGGCTTTCATACGCGCTGGGCCCTTCCTTTTCCATAGCTTCTAAGAAGTAGTACGATTCTGGCCACTGTACTATCTGCTCGTACAGCTGTTGCGCCCTTGTTGTCGCTAATGCCCCCTCATCCAACTCCGGATAAGCCCTGGCCGACAACCTCTCCAGCTCGACGCAGTATTCCGCCACTGTCTGCGCCTCTGCCTTTTTCAGTCTTCTGAGTTTCCCTAAGGCCCTTATCCTCTCGGTCTTCTCCTCGACTCGATTGGATTTAGACAAAGCAGCTACAATACCCGCATAAGGCCCATGCCTTACTTCCCTCGGAAGTGCCTCGTATTGTGCTTTAGCCCTATCACTCAACTTAGACTTCAACAGCGCTTTCAGCTCCTTCTGGGACCAACTATCTTCCGGGTACTTTAATTGGAACGATTCCAAAAAGTTTTCCCATGAGTAGCTTTTATCTCTGCCAGTATATACTCGTACCTCAGGCAAAGCTATGTACTTTAGGTAAGAACTCATGCCATTGTGGCTACATGCTGAGCTATTCCTACCACTATACCTACTCGATCTCGAACTTAAGTGGCTATCAATTTCACTTAATTCATCATCACTTGAAACGGCTCTGCACTCACCGTTCGACTCCAATGTCTTCCTTAAACACTGCCTGGAGCTGTCCCGCGTCAAGCGATTCAATGCCGGCCGCAACTCTCGCCCATTCTGCAAGACAATATCATCACCACTCCATGCATTTCTCAATCTTTTCAGACCTTCCAAATCATACTTGGATCTGATCTGACACGACGTACCTGGGATTGCTTCATCAGTCGCCGACAATCCTTTCTTCACTGCTGCCTGCTCGGCGCGCAATTGGTCAATTTCTCTTTGTTTTTCCTCGAGTTGGCGCTGCAACGAGAGTATTTCGTGGTTCTTCCGTGACAGACTAGTTAATTTTCGTTTCAACTCACTACACTCTCGCACAAGGTCCTCATCGGCCCACCCAGTGCACTTCTGCACCTCCTCGAGCACACTCGCTTTCTCTACGAGCTCTTCCACCACTTGCACCATCTCCACACGTGATCCGCAGCCCAAGGAAATCATGAGTTCACGCACTCCCACGTTTTCCTCTCGCTTTTTGGCATACAGACCCTTCAGGCAGTCTAACTGCTCCTCCACTGCCTGTATCGCAGCTCTCGCCACTGCTTCAAACTTATCTCTCTTTGCATCCCCACTGCGCCAATGCCGCGCTACCTCTGCTACCACTGCAATCTCTGCCTCTTTCAATTTCTTATGCATTTGACCGCATACCTTGAGCTCCTCCAGCTCAGCATTTCTAACGCCACTCGCTTCTGCCATATCAACATCCATGGCGGCCTGCTGAACCGGCTCACCGCCTGCAACCAAGGCGTTATTCAGCGTCCTTTCCGCGTCCTCAGACGCTACCAACTCAGCCATTACGCGGCGGTCAGTACGGTGTGGTGCCCAGTCTCCTCTTATTGCAGGAATCGATAGCCTCGCACGTACCACAAAAAAAAATTTGGGCAGAGGTTACCCTTAGGAAAAAGGTGTACCGCTATCGATTCCTACAAAAAGTGGGAACCAGACACCACACTGGTCTCAGCGAGTTGGATTTTTCCTGAGAAAAATCACTGACCCGCTAGCAGTGCGCCACGTTAAAGCCACTCGAGGCCACGCCAAGGAGCTTTAACGTAGATACGAAACACACGAACGAAAAAAAAATCGATAA